TCATCAGGAGGGAGGAAAAACAAAGAAATACCTTAAGGAGTGACTGGACAGGGGAGAATGCAGTCAGCAATGTCGGGCATGTGTGCGATGTTGTACATGCACGATAAGTGACTGGGCAGGGAGGGGAGGGGCGGGTGGAGAGGGGCGGGGTCAGCCAGGGGCACGATTTGCCGGTTCTCTGAACTGCGCAGAGTCATAACAATCTGTTCTATAGAGCCGGTCTGAACCCGTAGAATCCCACCCCTGGCTGCCGTTGGTAATTTAGTAACATGCTTTTTGAGTGAATGAATTTTGCTGGTCAGAAGGTCAGAGATTCACTTTCATTCACTGACGGTTGCAACTGTCATAAATATGAGTCAGTTACCAAGTGCCTGAATTTTGATCACTTGATTATGGAGATGCTGCAAGGGTGATAAGTGTGAAAAAACGGTCATAAGTCACTTTTTTCAGTGCCATTGTAACTTTGAATGGTTACTAAATGTACTGTTGTAAGTTGAGGACTATCTCTATAGAGAATGGACTTTCTTATTACTTTCTTTTCTTTGTCCCCTTGCCAATCTTTTCCCGAGGATTGGATAACCCTTGGGAATGATATGTGACAGACATATACTGTAGGAGGAAGAGTCTCAAATCACCAGGAATCCGTTTCTCATGCTAATGATATGTCTGTGTTAAGTTCCAAAGCCTTGTGATGTTGTTTCATATGGTGGATACAAAAATAAAATTACCACTGACTTCTAATGTTTGTTGATGTTTCTTTTTAAGTTCTTCAATATCTTGCTTGTGCAGCACTTCAGCACGATTGAGAGCCTCTTCTACTGCATCTTCTTTTGCTGTTTCAGCCTACAAAACAGAATAGAAGCAGTTGGTTAATACAACTATGCTAACGACACCACACAGGACTGATCACACAGGACAATCTCAACTGCTATGATGGCTCTTTGGCAACAACAGTTGCACTTGTTAATGGAACTGATTGTTCTTCCATTGTGTCCTCCCTAACCAGTTCTAGATGGCTTGTTCAAGAAGGAAAAGTGTTATTGCACAAGCAGAAGTCAACTCTAATCCCAGATTTCTTACAGTGGTCCTCGACTTACAACCGTTTGTTTAGTGACCATTTGATGTTGCAACAGAACAGAAAAAAGTGACTTATGACCAGTTTTCAAACCACCCTGCAACATCCCCTTGGACACTTGAATAAAATTTGGGCACTTGGCAACTGGCATGTTTTTATGTTGGTTGCAGTGTTCTGGGTTTATCAGCATTTGTAATCTTCCCAGCCAGCTTCCAACAAATGTGGAAGAAGTCAGATTTGCCTAATGACTGATTATTCACTTAACAATTGCAGTGATTTGCTTAACAACTGTGCCACAAAAGGTCATAAAATGGGGCAAAACTCACTTAACAACTGCCTTGCAAAGCAATCGACATTTTGGGCTCAGTTGTGTTTGTAAGTCAAGGACTACCTGTAATTCTTCATAACTTGAGAAGAACGTAAGCATATGTTCTGGAAGCGGGCTTGTTTTATTTTATTATTACTAATATTTGCATCCCTCTGTGCTTTGGCTAACTCCAGTGCTTCTTTTAAATTTAAAATGAAGTTAATACAATAAAATTCTACTTCATGTATACTGAACACTTCAGACAATGTTCTAAAAAGTAAAATCAATTGCCTAATTGGAAATGCAATTGAGAAGTTGGAACCTTAACCCAGGGGTGGGATTCTACCTGGTCGGACCAGTTCTATAGAACCGGTTGTTACGATTCTGTGCAGTTTGGAGAACTGGCAATTTGGGCTACTGGCTGGCCCCTCCCCTCCCCGCCCACTCACTACTTACCTGGCATGCATGCCATCAAACTTGCCTGCATTTGGTAAGTTGCTATTTTTTTCTTTTTTCTTTTCCCTGACCATCATTTAGATTAGCTAGAAAGCTAGGACATTGGATTTCTTGCTTTCTAGCTCATCTAAAAGCAGAGCTGAACCTTCCTGAGGACTGAAGCTTCTATTTTTCAGTGCAAACTCAAGTAGCAGATTGCGGAAAGATAGATATCTGAGTGAATCTGTGATTCTGCGAGCAACTCAATCTGCCTGCCTGCTTTGCCTGCTTTTGGGTAAAAGTTGCTCTTTTTTAAATAAAAAATTCAATATTTGCATAAATATTTATAATATTTACATACAAGACACAGCCAGCCAGTCACATGACCTCCAAGCCACGCCCAGTCAGCAAGCCACGCCTAGCCAGTCACGACCACCAAGCCACACCCATAAATTAGGCCACGCCCACACATTGAATTTGAATCCCACCCCTGCATTAACCACGTGGTCTAGATTCAACTTTTATTGTCACTCTTTCAGAGAAATCCATAGGATATTCAAACCGAAGATTATTGGTTAAGGACAGATAGCATTCGGATTCTATCAAGATTTTTTTGAATAGGCAAAAACTATTTTTAAAAATCACCACATTAAAAAAAAAGATGTTGAGACTCTGGAAAGAGTGCAGAGAACAGCAATAAAAATGAGTAAGGGCCTGGACATTAAAATGTATGAAGAATGGTTGCAGGAATTGAGTTTGTCTAGACTCTAGTACATTAAAAAGAAGAATTAGTGGTAACATGATAGCAATCTTCCAATATTTGAAGGGCTATCACAAAGAAGATGGGGGTCAACCTATTCTCCAAAGCACTGGAAGGCAGGACAAGAAGCAATGGATGGAAACTAATCAAGGAGAGAAGCAATCTATAACTGAGGAGAAATTTCCTAGCAGTGAGAATAATTAACCAGTGGAACAGCTTGCCTTCAGAAGTTGAGGATGCTCCATCACTGAAGGCTTTTAAAAAGAATCTGAGCACTCACTTGTCTGAAGAGGTATGGGGCCTCTTGCTTGCACAGGGATTGGACTAGAAGACCTTCAAAGTCCCCTCCAACTCTGTTAGTATTAAACAACATTAAGACAAATCTACACCTGATTTGTACCAGTGCTGCTGATGTACCTATGACACCTATTAACAAGCATCAGAGGAAAATCGGAATAATAAACTTTAGAAAGGTTTATATTTAACATGATAGAGAATAGTTTTACCTGAAGCCAGAGTTTAGTCTGCATTTTATCAATTCGTTTTTGTATTTCCTGTTCTCTTTGATCTACATCTTCTCGCTTAAGGTCTGCTCCAATCTCTATATAAAGCAATATAGTAATTGAAGGCCACAGCATATATTATATATGGATTATGTAGGTCACACATTCTATAAAATAATCAAAAGTTTAATTTGAAAGCATTAAATTATTACCATCCTATTGTGAAGACTAGTGTGCACATTTCAAATGTGCCATACTGACATTAATTAAACATATAAGTGGTGTGTGTGTTAAGCTGCTATTCTCTGATTAGGCTTGATAAAAATTTAACCCAATAATTTAGGGAAAGATGGAAACAGCAATTAGACTAATATACTGCTCCATAGTGCTTTACAGCACTCTCTGAGCAGTTTACAGAGTCCGCATATTGCCCCCAACAATTTAGGTCCTCATTTTATTGACCTCGGTTGACCTGAATCAACCTTGAGTCAGTCAGGATCTACCTCCTGACAGTGGGCAGTTAGCCTGCAATACTGCATTCTAACCATTGTGCCCCCCACAAGTCATAAATCCCATATCTCTATCCTAAACATTTCACATTTCAGCTTATCTCAACAGACTACATGGCAATGGCAAGATAAATCCCTACAAATGTTTACAATGAACCCTTGGATGCTGTTCCATCTATACTAGTGAAGGGATCCTGGCAGAGTATTCCATCTACAGCAGGAGTGTCCAACCTTGCCAATTTTAAGACTTGTGTACTTCAACTTCCCTGGCTGGCTGGAATTCTGGGAGCTGAAGTTCTCAAGTCTTAAAATTGCCACTCCTGATCTACAGTTTTATGCAGATAACTTCAATATCTGAAGCAGGCGTTTTACATTGGTGGACAACCAGCAGTGAAGGCATCAAGCTTGCTCTAGTTTCCTTTCTAAAGTGATCAAAAGAAAGATCACAAGGCCAGAAATAATATCATGTGATTATACCATAGAAATTGGACATAAATCTTCATATATTTCATTTTCCTCTTTTTTTTGGCAAGTATCAAGTAGAAGGATGTCTTTCCTACTAAACCAAAGATGCTCTTTTCCTTAATATTTGCAGCCTTTTCTATTTTTTATCATTTTATTAATATGAATAGCTGGAATTGTTCATGTTCTTGTATGCAGATTCCTTAGAACATGTCAAATACATGAAATCATCATCGGTTACTGAGGAGATTGACTTACCTAATATATCTTTGTGTGTATAATACCGAGTTTTGTAAGGTTTATATTCCCTAATCCGATCAAAGGTCTCTGGTGTAGGAGGCGGTGGAATTAGTTTTGAACAAACAGCACAGCAAACAAATGTATCAAAATCTGGGTTTCTAATCATGATTGCATGAGATCTTTTTTCCTCCTTTGAAGAGAATGAAGTAATTGATTCAGATGCAGATACAAACACTTAGTTCTTCCATTCAAAGCTGAATTATATTTGGTGTCCCTTTGGTTCTGTGCATGTCAGTGGAATAAATAAGCTTCAGCATTGTATGACAAGATGGTCAGTGGAAGGAAGAGAAAAGGACCACCATTATATGGCAAGGTGCATTCACCTGCCTCCTCAGGAGCTCTTTATTAAGAAACTCTGGCAGTTACATTGTCATGACTATGTCTGAGCCTATGAGTTAAATGCTACCCAATAACTGTTGCTAGGCAAAGTAGGTTTTGCTCATAAAATCATTTGAGACATCAGTTAGTATTACTTAGCATCTTGGAATATATTTTTTGTAATTGATAATGTTTCATCTGCTTTTCTTAAACAATGTACATGAATTATTACAGCCTTTACTATCCAAATATTTAAACCCAAAACTTAACATTCCACTAAATGGAAATATTCAAGGAAGCTCAAAATATTGAAATAACTCATGGGAACGTATTTTAACAGATTAGTTTTATTGCCTTGAGTGAAAAATATCAATCCATCAATCATTTTGTACACTAAATCATAAATAAATAACTTCAGAAGAGACTATGGAAAAGTTTTCCCTTATTTAATATTTGAAATATTAAAAATTTGCACAGGTGGATGATTGCACAAATAACACATTTTAGAAATGTTTTTTGAGTGACTTACTAAAACACTGACAATTAATAATAAACTTTAAAACCAGACAGTGCAATTCTGGCAATAATTCTAAAGCATCTTTTGGCACAGTATAGATAAGAAATAAGTTGCACATATTCTGCAGTACCCTTTTTGTTATAATGTGCTTTATTCAAAATATCAATAGATAATAGCATTTCACACTGATGTTTAAACTGATTTTTTTAAAAAAGCATTCATTGTATAAAAATAAATGGTAATGCTTCAGTCAAAATCCTGAAAGTCACCATGCAGAAAATCAAATGTCTTCTTCCATGTTGATATTTGTCAACACTGACAGTTTTTTCAGTCCCATTTTGAAGTCTTGCGTTTCATAAGTCTGTTTCCTTCACTGTCAATAGCTTCATAGAGATCCTTTTTGTTTTCTTGTTGTGCGTGCAAGTACCCAATATAAGCCACACAGAGAGTAATTGTCACAAGGCCAAAAGCCATAACTGCTTTGTTCTGTGAAAATAAAAATAATAGCTTGAAATCCAGACATTTTATTTAATCCACTTTCTAAACCATGTATCCTAAAGGTAGTTTATTAAATTATGTCCCAATGACCTATTTTACTTTCCATTTTCATCTAGCTTTTAAAGAGAAAAGGAAATGGCTAGAATTAACGCTTCAGTCCTCTATATAACTGGAAATACACCCCACCCAATACTGTTAAATTGTTACTGAGAAGAGAGCTGGAGATTGCACTGAAGCCACTATGACCATTAGGAAAGATTGACATAAGATCCAACTCAGTTTTTGAAAATTATATATCACCACTTGGATGATCTTACTGATCTTGGAAAAGCTAAGCAGGGAGGGATCTGGTTAGTAATTGAAAAGGAGACTATTAGGACAACCCAGGGTTCTCTAGGCTGGAATGAAAATTTGAAAGGGCATCCTGGAAGAAGGCAGTTGCAAAACACATCTGTATGTTGCCAAAACAGCAGCATTAATGCATTTGTGCAGCCCCGTAAAAGTCAAGCTTTTTAAAAACCAGTAAAGGCAATGCTCCCAACTGTCTGTTTTATTATGAAATGAAAGGCCTGTAAATTGCAAAGAAATGAAATGACTTAGTTGATTAAGATGTAGAAAATATATTTAATCTTTTTTAGTTCCTCAATACCTTTTTTTTTTCACAGACTGTATGTTGTTTGAGTGTAAGATGTTTCTATTTGGAAAAAATGGGTCTCATCCAGAGTGAATGCTGTTTTTCCATACATTTTAAATATGTTCCTATTCATGACTGATTAGGTTTTATAGTATTTTGTTTGCAATTTAGTCTAATTATTGAACTAGCCACTGACTTCTGAAAGCTTAATTCAATAGGCAAATTACTTCTTCATCGTAACAGTTTTCCTATTCATGTTAAAAAAGTGAGATATTGTAGCTAAAGTATTTTGATGTCATACTATTCTAATTAGCAAGTTATTAATTAGCAACTTATTTTTTTATCAAAACTAATGTTACACCTGAATTAAAAATGGAAAATAATCAGAAATTAAATATAAATGACCTCTTAAATAACATGTTATACTCCAGTTTACTTAATTGTGATAAACCATAATTGACTGAATTTAGATATAATGCTAAAGTCATTAACCATAAATCCCAAACAGAAAGACTAGGCTCATATATCATAAACCCAAACAATAATTCAGATGTAATAACTATGGCCGTATATCAGACTATGCAACTGAGATGCAGGCAAAAGTATGGATGTATTTAAACCAGCTGCCCCAAATAATTGCTGTTTTCTTACAGGTTTAATGAAAAGTTCTGGATTCACAGCACGGAACAAAGTAGTAGTTTGAGCACCTCGGAGTCCTGGAATTCGATAATCTTTTCTTTTGGGTGCTTCATGTTGAACATCTGAAGGCTGAGGTGCTGAAGACATCTTACTGTGGCAAAAATATTTGGACTCTGTGTGTGTGAGACACTTTACTAATATCCTATATTCTGATTGCAATCTAATTGACAAATATAAATAATAATAAAAGTCCAGGTCTATTATTTACCAAACCTGGAAAATGCAGTGATGGGTTATCTCCAGAGGGTTGCTAGCCAAAGACCTTGAATAATTATCCTGTTTTTCTTTCTTAGCAGCTTTCTGTCAAAACAAAACAAACAAAAAACCCTGAGCAAACTATAGCATATAAACAAAGAATTTAATCTGGGCCTTGGCATAAGATTCCAGAGAGCAGTAGTAAAATTATACATCAGGTTTAATTCCTGACAATGTCAGGTAGAGCAGGGTTTCAAACACTGCTAGTCAAGCTAGCCAGAGCCAAAGTAAACAGAACAATATATTATTATGAAGGATATTATGTAACTTCCCATTAATCTTAATTTAATATGATTCACTTAATAATCCAGTGTTTTGGCCTTCCCCAATGTTGTGTCATCTTCTAGATACCTTGATCTGTGACTTCACTGTTCATCAATTAGGGAAAATAGGAACTGCAGTCCAACAAGTTGGCACAATATTGTCCCAGATTTATGAGTTCCAACCAACGAAGAAAGTTGATTAAGAATAAGGAAGCAGCTGAAGTTCATAAAGATAATACAGGTTTCACCTGCAGACATCTTGATATTACACGGGTGATGCTTTGTAAAATCATGTGGTGGAGCCATCTGGGAAGCTAACAAGATTGGATTAGCAGGCGATAGCTCCTTCTACTCTCACTTCCTAGCAACCAGTATTTAAGATGGAATGGAATCCCCTGGAGATACATTTGGTTTTCACTCTCTTAAAACCTGGCTCAGCACATAAACTTGGGTTATCCGCTATTTGATATCCAGCATTTTGGATCTAAAAAAAAGTAGGGTGGCCTGGGCATGTGCATGGATTCCACGTTTGCCTATACCCCCTACAATTCCAGGAAAATACAGATAGTCCTCGACTTACGGTATAACAGTTCATTTAGTGACCATTTTACCAAGTTACAACAGTGCTGAAAAAAATTAACTTATGACCACTTTTCACTCTTACGACCATTGCAGTATTCCTATGGTCACATGATCAAAATTCAGGTGCTTGGCAACTAACTCATATTTATGACGGTTGCAATGTCCTGGGGTCATGTGATCACCTTTTGCAACCTTCTGACAAAGTCAATGGGGAAGTCAAATTCACTTAACAAGTCGAGGTCTACCTGTAATGCATCTGATGCTCAAAGATGTGTATATTTCAAGGGATGCCATTGTGTTTTAAAACTGGGAGAAAGGACATACTTTTATGCTATACATATAAGGTAACTTCTTGTCCTCCTTCATCCAAACTAAAGACTTATAATTCTTCTTCATAGGAGGACTGATCTAGACTTCTATTTATTTTGGTTCGTTTTGAGCTCTGTAATACCCCCTCTGAAAATGTGATGACTAAAACTGCATTCCAAATACCACAAGAATAATCTTTGCTATATATTTTCATTAAATTAGCAATTCTATTTTCAATTCAATTCCTTTGACTTCTAATATGGAATCTGCCTTCTTCACATTGGCTGCACACTGGATTGACATTTTTATCCAGCTGGCCATCAAGCTCCTCTTGATCAATCAGTTCAGATTCCGTTAATATAAAAGTCAGAGATGGATATTTTTTTTTTGCACCAACATTCATTACACTTGCTTACATTGTTATTTAAGTCAGAAATGGTGTAGGGCAAAGGTCTTCAAACTTGACAGCTTTAAGACTTGTGGGCTTCAACTCCCAGAATTCCTGAGCTAACATGACTGGAGGAGGAATTCTGGGAGTTGAAGTCCACAAGTCTTCAACCTGCCAAGTTTGAAGACCCTTAGTGTAGGTAGGGTACCCTGCTTGGGCGGAGGGTTGGACTAGATGACCTACAAGGTTCCTTCCAACTCTGCTATTCTGTTATTTTTGTTAAAGTCTTATGATGACCATCTGCCAGTTTGGAAAGTTTGACTGTGGTATTTTTCTACACCAATAGCCACACACCAAACTGTCTTCCACCATATCACACCATGTAACTAAAGACTTCCATCCATAAATCTCTCATCACTAGCCATCTGTCAGACAAAGTGCAAACTTTTTTCCTTTACAGATTTTCCTTGGTAAGGAAGAAGTACAGTAGGAAGTGAGGGAAACCTGGGATGACTGTCTGTGGACCACCACAATGTCAGCGTGTCATTTTGAGCTTTATCTTTTTTTTTTGGGGGGGTGGGGGGGGGGGGGGGGGGGGGGGGGGAGGAAATCTGCAAGCTTTCCTGGAAGCACCCAAGCTCTCTAGAGCAAAAGTCTTCAAACTTGGCAAGTTTAAGACTTATGGGCTTCAACTCCCAGAATCCCTGAGCTAACGTGACTGGAGGAGGAATTCTGGGAGTTGAAGTCCACAAGTCTTGAAGCTGTCAAGTTTGAAGACTCCCCTGCTCTAGAGTCTAGGAAGCCCTAATTTGAGAAAAGCAAGTTTGAAACGATGATCTCATCGACGTGGAAAGCACAAGCAAATAGCTCGCCACTTTTTCTAACCGTAGTACGGCTACCAGGAAAAAAATCCGGACGGTCCCTGCGTCCGAGTCATGGGGGTGGGGGCTGTCTCCAACCTTGGCAACTTTAAGACTTGTGGACTTCAACTCCCAGAGTTCCTCAGCCAGCTTTGCTGGCTGAGGAATTCTGGGAGTTGAAGGCCAGAAGTCTTAAAGTTGCCAAGGTTGGAGACCCCTGAAGTCTGCGGCAGCCTAGGTCTGGAACCTCTTAGCAGGTTCCTAGCTAAGAGGTGTAGCTAGTTACTACTAAGAGGTGGCTGACCAGGCGCCCTCTTCGATATTTAAGTACGCTAAGAAAAGCATACCTAGGAAGACAAAAGCAAAGCATCGAAAGTCCTCCAGTTTCTTGCTTACCTCCCTCCGCGGGCAATCTGAGCCAATTACCTTTCCAACGCAGAACTAAGAAGGGCTGGCGGGGCCAGGGGGGCGTTTTCCGCCTCTGCCGTTCTTTTGGGCCCAACTCGAGGGCGCCCCCTGCTGTGCGGAGGCCAGGACAGCACTTTGCTTTACAAGCTGGAGACGGCTGGGTTAGAAAGAGAGTTCGCAAGCAGGACGGGGCGGGGGGGGGGGCATCCCCCCCCCCCGCTTTTGTCAACCAGCTCTTGCGGGGGGAATTGTTATTATGTATGGCCGCACAATCAGTCAGATGTGTAGACTGGATTTGCCGTTTTTAATCTACCTATTGAGTCCTTCCCAAGGGCCTGGGATAAGCAGATGTTATTTGATTGATGGTGATAATTTATTTATTCATTTATTTGATTTTGTCAGTTGCTTACAAGATAAACAGGTATTAAGTATAAACATAGTTATGAATACATGGATACATATAAGCAAAGTAAAAGAAGCAATGGGACAGGGACGGTAGGCACGTTGGTGCGCTTATGCACGCCCCCTACTCTTAGGAAAGGGGTGAGGTCAATAGTAGACAGTCTAAGGTTAAAGTTTTTGGGGTTTGGGGAAGAAACCACAGAGTCAGGTAGAGTATTCCAGACATTGATCACTCTGTTGCTGAAGTCGTATTTCCTGCAATCAAGTTTGGTGCGATTTAGCTTGAGTTTGTATCTATTGTTCGCTCTTGTGTTGTTATGGTTGAAGCTGAAGTATTCATTGACAGGTAAGTCATTGCAATATATGGTTTATTAATGTATGATTTTTTAATAAAGATATGATCACAAAATGTGACCTTTACTTTGGCCAAGTAAAGTTGCCTTTTGCAATTGGTTGATGGTCAGTGCTAATAGGGTATGCTCCAGATATTTTGGAATTGCACTATTACTATTGGTGCTATCTTTGCTTTCTTTTGCTACAGAACTTTGTATTTCTATTTACATCTCTTTGTATTTTGTGATTTTTCCCCCAGGCTTTCTTTCCTGTTCTGATGTTTCCAGGTCATGTCCAGTATCCAAATCTTTTTTGTCTTTCTTATCAACAGCTGTTAAGTCCTGGGTATTGTGTGGCAAGTGCCTGTCTATTTGAATTTTAAAGTCCCAGAGCACTTTAGCTTCTTCATTTTCTATTATTTTTTCTATTTTATGCTCCTGCTAGTTTTTCCTGCAAGCAAATGGTATTTCTGGCAGGTTTTTCAATGCACCATTGTTGCTACTTTGTCAGTATCATTGTAAGTAGTATGTACAATATTTTTGGAATGGGTTAGCCTGCCACATGTTTTTGATGTTTGGTATCCATGGCCTCATTTGTTTAGTATTTTTGACAGAGGAATTAGTACAATGGCAAACAGTACTGATCATGAGCCTCTTTGAAATATTCCTCTTGATATTAACTCCTCCCAATCCATCACTATTGATCAGCAACTATGTCATTCATTATATCATTGACCTTTGCACAAAGCTTCTGATGTGTCTACTGGCTCCTGTTATTTCTAGGCACTTGATTATCCAGACATGTGGCAGTGAGTCAAATGTCTCCTTATCCAATCCAAGCTACATAGTTGGTCTTCCTACTGTTTTCCAAAATCCCCTTGTCAACTAGGAGCTGATCTTTTATTCCTCTGGCTGGTTGATTAGTTTCCTGTCGGTTCAGGTGGAAAGAGCTTGTTATCAACTAAATTCTGGTTGACTGCATCAGCAGCCACACTAGTTAGCAAATGGAAAGTTGTTGGTAAGCAGGTAACTGGCCTGTAGTTGCCTGATACTACCTTATTTGTTAGAACTTTCATTATCAGGTAGGTTTTAGTCAGATGTTAACCTATCTTCAATTTCACCTCTTTGCACCATTTGTTAAATTGCTTTGCAGTGAATAGATGACAAAGAGTGGGTGTAGATATTTCAACCAAAACCCATTCAGTTCAGTGATGGTATTCAATTTTTTTTGGGTGTGGTGTGGCTTGGTGGGTGTGGCAGGAGAAGGATACTGTAAAATCCCCATTCCCTCCCCACCCCACTAACCTGCTTTCCAGCTCCCTTCTCCTGTGCAGGGCAACCAAAGAAGACCCAGCCAATCAGCTGAGACTCGGGAGGCAGAGAATAGATGGGGGCGGGGCCAGTCAGAGGTGGTATTTGCCGGTTCTCCGAACTACTCAAAATTTCCACTACCGTTCTCCAGAACCTGTCAGAACTGGATGAATACCACCTCTGATTCAGTTCATTTTCACCTGGTGCTGAACTGTTCTTCCTTGCCCATTTCTCCACCATTTCATTATTATTATTTGCAATTTATTCACTGCCCAACTCCAGTGGACTCTTGGCAATGTATAAAACTTTAAAAAACATAAAACGAGCTAAAACATTAAATTAGGCAGAAGGATTAAATCAGGTGGAGAGCTCCAGAAAAATATTCCCATTTGGGATCAGAGTGGGATGATCAGAGATATTCTGGAGACCTACCTGAAGCTTAAAGAAAATTCCAACTGCAATGGATTAAGACCTGGAGGCATCTGTTCCATGAATGTGGAACTCAGTTATGCATATGTATCTACCTATTTGTCTATTAGGTAGTGTTACATCAGGTGACTTGACCTCACATCTTCTAGATAAGTTAAACTGCCCTTCCCATCATGCCCAGGCCCCACCATGCCTGCAAAGCATCTCCTTCATGAAACATTTTTTTTTCATCCAGAGCAGACATCTGATAGACTTTTGAATATCTGAATGTCTTTTGTCCTAGGGTTTGCTCCAGCAGAGTGAATTAAGATCATTCTATTCCTCTTTTATTTTCTGATATTGGAGAAATTTTGCTGCAGAACTGCAGTTCAAACCCCTTCCTGGGATTGACAATGTAATAAACGTGTTCTCTTCTTGTACTTATGTGGAACGTCCAATTGGAAATCAAAAATTAGCAGATCACTTAGGGCAGTGGTCCCCAACCTTTTTTGTACCACGGACCGGTACAATCCATGGACCGATCCACGGACCGGTACCGGCATCAGCACGCACGACCAAGGCAAGGCGAGCCGAGTGACTGGCCAGCCAGCTGTCCCCCGCTTCTCCCCGCCACCTTCAACTCCTCCTTTGTACCTTCTCGCGGTCGATGGGCTTTTCGGGCTCTTTCTTAATCTCCTCCTGAGTAACGCGAGACTCCACCGCCATCGGTACGGCTCTTCGTTTGAAGCCGCCCCGCCCCCTTCGACGAAACTAAGGTGCGAGGATTCCTTCAGCACCCAAACGCCGCTTTCCAACCAACGACCGACAAGCTCACCTGGAAGCACTTTCTCAAGCACCATCGAAACAAGATGGTGGCGCCCAAGCAAAATAGGCGGCCCGGTACAAAATGATCCATGGACCGGTACCGGTCCGGGGCCCGGTGGTTGGGGACCACTGACTTAGGAACCTTCTACAGATGTGTTTGGATTCATACTACAATTCCCAGAATTTCTAGGCAACATGGCCACTGCCACTCGACATATGTAAAGAGCCTGGGGCGGGTAGCATAATCTAAGATTAGCAAACCACACCTTCTTATTTAAACAGAATGTGACATTTATCTGTGTAAATGCAATTTATATACATTACTTGTTTGCAAATAGAAAAGAATGAAAATGAAGACAGTCTGCATTAGTAGGAAAGATTCAATGAGCCATCTGTGTTTTATGTCAATATTTAACTCACAGCGCATCATCTGCTCTACTAGCAGTTATTGTTGTGGCAACAGCTTTTATAATGAATCTTACTGAAGAAAACAAAGAGGATGTTAGTAGGATAATAAATCTTACAAATTCATATACATCAACGAATCCTATAATTGCCAGGTTCTACAGCTCAACACTGATTTGGGTCAAAGGTGGATGTCCAATACATCTGGTGGAACCAGGTTGGGGAAAACTACAGAACATGCTGAATTTGTCAACATGAGCCACTGACATACCTATTAAAGTTGTGTGTGTGTGTGTGTATCCTGAGTCAAGTATTTTTCATAAGACACAATAGAAGTGGATGTTTACATCTCAGAATTAAATATCTGATAAAAAGTAAAAAAAATTGCTATTTCTGTGTTGAATTGAATTGGCATCCTCCCGTCTCAAGAGACAATGGTATCGTGCTCAGGGGTGGGATACGACCGGTGTAACTACCGGTTCGGTGATTTTACATTTTACACTGCGTGCACGTGTATATCATCATCAGCTAGCTGCCTGGACAGCTGAGCAGCACTGTGCGTGGATGCGCAGTGGTTGAAAAAACACTTTTTTCCTGCTTTTTCAACTGCAGTTGTGTTGCGCAAAGCAGCTGCGGTTGAAAAAGCAGGAAATAAAGGTCAGGTAAGAGCCCAGGAGGGTGGGTGGGTGAGCCAAAACAGCAGCAGACATAGAACCAGTTCTATGTATGCTCTCTGTCTATTGCTCTTCAGAGCAACTGGTTCTACAGAGGTGGACAGAACCAGTAGAATCCCGCCCCTAATCGTGCTATAAAACCGGTAACTGTCACTTCCAGTGTTGTTTCAATGCTGTATGCAAGGCTGGAGTGTTCAATTATATTTAAGGCTATGCACAAACAGGTAGAGCACGAGGCCGGGTAATTTAATATGGAGGATAAACTGTTTACCCAAGCAGCAGATCCCCTCTCTCCATGTCACTGAAATAGTCTAATGGAACGGCAGAGTGGATACGCTTAGTTCCAGCTGCGTCGCAGGAGTTACCAGAACGTGATTGTACACAGTCATGAACTGCTTCCGGGACTCTGGCTCCGGATTTTGCCTCGAGGTTGACTCCTGAAACCTTTTCCAATAATAGGTATATCCACAAGGCAGTAGAGGTTTGAAATCAGAGTTTCCCTTCTCCTAGAAGATGGTTCTACTGTTTTATCTGCCGTTGGGGCATAAAGCCCTCTTCCGCCTTCAAAACTGTAACCCTGGAAAGGGGCCTTTATGAGATGCTACCAGCCAGGCCAGCTGGACCAAGGTTTTGTAAGGAGGTATTACTCCTCCAGCACTTCTCCTCACTCCAGGAT